AAAAAGCTTCAATCATGGCTTGGTCACTGCTACCGTAGGCAACAAAACTGCCATTTCCTTCGAGCAAAGCTCTAAAGCAGCCAAGTAGCTCGCAGGAAAGACGAAAGAGTGAGCACGGGCAATGAAAGATCATGTTCTAAACGCACCGTTTCTTGTTTCTGGAATAACTATCTTTGGGCCTCTAATTGGGCCTTCTATTATTAACCCATCTTAAACAGTTGTATTTGTACCATTGAAGTGGGCCACTATGAAAACTATGAGCTCAGTCAATTTGTTAGAAAATGATTTATTAGATTTAGATTTCGTTCGGAGCACTATCCTTAATTGTAAATTCAATTCAAGATTTTTTTTAAGTTGTTTTAAAAGTTAAAATAAGATTGTTTTGATTTTGATTTTAAATAAAATGATATTTTATCTAAATTTGAACTTAGTTCGAACTTGAATGTTGATTTATTTAATTAACCAAGTCAATTTTCATTTTAATTCAATATAAAAAACTTGCTTCATTCTAGATTTTATAACTATAATTTCAAACAATAAGCATATTATTTATTTTTTTATAATTTTTTATACCACCTGAAAATAATATTTTACTTAGAAATATTTTTGTCTTATGTAAAAGAAATATTAAATTAATATTTTTTAATGAATTTTTTATGTCTTTGTGTGTTAATTTCAAATATATATATAAAAATATTTTAATATACTTTTAAGTGAAAAATATTTTTTAAAAGTACCTTACATTATAATAATAAACATGTATTTAGAGAGTGTCTAGTAGTGTAATAATGGTTGCTTTTTAAAATATTTTAAGCTAAAAAATATATCAAAATAATATTTTTTAAAATTATTTATGATATCAATACATTAAAAAAATAAAACAACATATTAAAAAATTAATTTTAATAGAGAAAAAAAGAATGAACCACAAACGATTGCGTGATATATATAAATAACATAGAAATTTAACTATGTAGTTGGTAGACAAATTTTGCCCCTTAATTTTTTCAAATAAACCAAGGAGTTATTTTTTCTATTAAAAAAGCTAAATTCGATCCCAACATTCCAACATTTATTTATTTTTCTATAAAATTATCATCTGTATTTCCTTGAAAGTATTATTAATTAATTTATTTTCCAAAGAGATTAATTTATAATTTTTTAAAAAACATAAAAAATATTAACAAATTAGTTTATAAATCTATTTAAAAATGTAATTGTAATTGCTTTTAAAAATACTTTATACTTAGAAATGTATTAAAATAATATATTTTTAAAATTAATGCATTAAAATAATTTAAAAACATAAAAAAAAATTAATTTAAAGTAAAAAAATATAAAAATTTTAATTTTTTTAAAAAATACTTTTAAAATATAAAAACAAACACAACCTATATATCAATCAACTCTTCCGAGTTTAATTTACACTTATAAAATTAAATAGTGGTGTGTTGATTTCTTAAAATATATAAACTCATTTATAAGAAAAAAAAAGAAAGAAAATACTACAGGGGCACTATTATAATTTGCTTATCTTAAAAAAAAATGGCACCGGATTTGCCACGTAATACGTGCAACCGCACAACCTCTAGTACTCAGCGTGTGTGCAAGCTATCACGCACGTGTTAACCACAGAGGCGACGCACCCATGTAAACGTGTCAAATAAGATCCATGCGAAAAACAACCTTAAAGCACGTGTTTCGTTGTCTTAACCACAACATGATAAAACACCTCCCAATTTAACGCATGCCAGATATTGATGCAAACAATATAATATTAGAGAATCAGAAATTACGAAAACTTAGTTTGAAAATGCAACGCCAAAAGAGATTACAAGTCCAAGCTATGTCAATTAGATCTCCCAAATCTTCATCGCCGCCACCGTGGGGGGTTCTTCTTCTTCTTGCTCACCATCTTGATCCTAAATCTTTAGGGGTGGCTTCATGTGTGTCCAAGTCATGGTACTTGTCCATGGCGTCTGACCATATTTGGCAACCTTTGTGTATGAATCATTACCCTTCTCTTTCTAACCTTAAGATTACGCATCCTTCTGTTTCTTACCACCGTTTGTATGCCATGGCATACGTTGCTGCCAAACGCAGGGTGAGAGGTCCCTCCGTGCCTCAATTTTCCATGGACAGTCTCATCTTTGATATCCATATTCTGGGCACCAAGGGCAATCATCCTATCGTCAAAATAGCAAAGCCTGGTAATGAATTTTGTTTTGATCATAATGGGGTGTTTAGATTTGATTTTGTAGTGAATAATTATGAGTGCTTGACGTCGTCAATGAATGAGATGCTAGAGGATGTAAAAATCACATGGAATGTGGTGTTGAAAGATTGGAGTGCGGTTTTTACCATGATGGATTATGAAGGGAAAGTGAGATATTCTCCTGGGTCTGAAGGTTGGTTTTCGCAGGAGTTACCACCACCACGGTGTTGCTCTAGTGATTCCACAAGTGGGATCGTGGCAGATTTGAAGTTGGTGTTCAATCGTAGGAAAGTTGGTGGTGACAAAGTTAGGGTTGACAAGGTAAGTGTGGGAATATTGAATGTTGTTAATTGGAGATACGTGATTGTTGAGGATGGTATTAGGTACCTGCAACATTTCCTTTTTCCATCTTGATTTGTATATTTTACAGCCCTTGTATGGTGGAGAGTTTATTTTCTATTTTTTAACTCATTTTATGTTCTTCAACAAGTCCACGGGTCGCTTGGTTGAAGTTCTTAATCTGCACGTCTCAACTGCTGTCGCCAAGCTCTGCATTATGTATAAGTGTTCGAGTACCATATATATTTTTTTAACTGAGAAACAAAGAGATATTACATGTGTGTGTTGCAATTTAGATTGCGCCTCTTCATCTGGGAAGAAATCCAGGTCTGATAATGTTCTTTAAATTTAGATAACTTGAAAGAATAAAAAGAATTAACAGCTGAGAAACCATCTATCTATGTATCTATTGGTATAATTTTTGAAAGAATGAATGAGAAAATCTACTGACTGATTAGAATTCGAAGTCTATAATTGTATTTAAGGAATATTATTGTAATAAATTATGTTTATGCGGATTCGAAGTCTATAATTGTATTTAAGGAGTATTATTGTAATAAATTATGTTTATGCGGAGATTATGATATAAGAGAGCACTGATGCTTTCGATACTGTTGTTATGCATCTAAGTTGGGTTCTGAGTATCTGTTGGGACTTCCCTTTTTAATTAGAAATCTCGAGCTTAAGCACAGAACTTGAAAATACAGACGGCTCCAAAAGCCCAAAGTGTTCGGTAAAGTGCCATGGTGGCTTTTACCAGTTTTTATTCAAAAGCAAGTGTTGACATGCTTTTGCATCAAAACAAGAATACCATTGCTTTCTGCAAAACAAGGGAAAAAACCCGGACCCATTAGGCTGTTGACTTGTCTAAAATTAGGGGTAGAAATGGGTGGATCTTCTCTGCCTGTAATTTAAGCCTTACCAGAGTCGTTACATCGTTTATGCGTGGGTTAATCTAGGTTTAATTAAAAAAAGATCTCTTGGTTTTTTGAATTTGATCAGTTTAGAAAAAACTAGAACTTGAATTGGGTTAATCTAGGTTTACTTAAAAAAAGATCTCTTGGTTTTTTGAATTTGATCAGTTTAGAAAAAACTAGAACTTGAATTTGATCATATCAAACTTTGCTCCAGTCAAGTTTCAAGCTTCGTAATATGAAGGTAAGAAACCAGGGCAAATAGGGGACGAGAAGAGAGTAGAAAGAAGAAGAGAATTAATTTAAGAACGAAAAAAACACTTTGATTAGTATCTTTTGCCTTTAGCCATATATACTAAAAGAAATCTAATCTGCTAATATACGCAACTGCAAGGCATGATCCTTGAAATATATGCGACAGAGTATACATATAATTAGCGGGCCTAGTCTCGCCACATTAACGACATCATGAAGATTAATGATTACAAGCAATGAACCTCCAAACTCCTGATAACAAATTCCCCAAACGAGACATAAGCTGGGATTTGAGGACTTTTTTCTTGGAGTGAAATACCCTCTTGGACTCTTTAAGATATTCGATGAAATCCTTAACATTCTTGAGCAGCTTCAATGACTTGAGGTCGGGCTTGAATTCCTTATGCGCCATTCTGTACTCAGCTTCCAAGCATCCCATATCGTTTTCGAATGCATAGATCCGCTCCATGAGATTTTCCATACCATCAAGGTTTTTGCTTTTGTATTCGTTAGAGAGCAAGGTTTCAAGGTATTTGATTTGAGATTGAACGTAAAGCCTATCGTTTTCGATCTTTTCGGTTACGAGTTTGTAAAGGTCAGAATCCGTGTATTTGCTGCCGGCGAGGTCATGATGGGGTGATTGAAGCTGAGATTTGAGGACTTTTTTCTTGGAGTGAAATACCCCCTTGGAATCTTTAAGATATTCGATGAAATCCTTAACATTCTTGAGCAGCTTCAATCTCTTGAGGTCGGGCTTGAATTCCTTATGCGCCATTCTGTACTCAGCTTCCAAGTATCCCATATCGTTTTCGACTGCATCAATCCGCTCCATGAGAATTTCCATACCATCAAGGTTTTCGCTTTTGTTTTCGTTAGAGAGCAAGGTTTCAAGGTATTTGATTTGAGATTGAATGTAAAGCCTATCGTTTTCGATCTTTTTGGTTACGAGTTTGTAAAGGTCACAATCGGTGTATTTGCCGCCGGCGAGGTCATGATGGGGTGATTGATCAGAAAGATAGTTAGAGGATAACTTTCTGTGATAATTTGGAAGGTAAGAAACGCAGACCGAGTTGGGGTTACAAAGATTACTGCTGCTACTAGGCATGGAGCAGCGTAACTCTTGAGTCTTGCCTTCTTCTTGCATGGAAGTATTCCTGGGGTCCGCCATTGATAGTGGTCGGGATATGCTGGTTAATTTTCTCTAAGTTTCGTTCAATCAGCCATGAATATATATAGGGAAAGCTTGCAGCAAATTCGTTTGCAAATAAAATTCTAATTTCACTACGAAGAGGATTAGCTAGGTAATTTAGTTCCCTTAGAATACGATCAAATCCCAAACTAGAAGTATTTTTGAGGTTATATATATATATATATATAAAATTAGTCCAACTCACAAAAGGATTTATATTCTTACATAATATTTTAAATTTATTGACATAATTTAGTTTGATAAACTTAAATAATTTAATTTCTTTTTCCTTGTAACTAATTAATGATACATTAACTTTTAAATAACATGAATAATATATATGCATGCGCCGAAATGACATGTTAGCATAGCAGGCACCACGTTATCTTAATGTATGCTTCGATCCTTTGTCTCGTGTCAATAATGATCACTTGTTCTCCGTGTTGTTCTTGTATGGCAATGTTCTTCTCTACGATATTAAGTTGTTGCCCTTGTCTGTCATGCATACACTGGCTGTTAATTGTAACCCTTTTTTTTTTCCTTCTGAGGGTGGTGGGTTCATGTTTGCCTTAGGTTCCTGAACTGTTTATCTCCCTCAGATCTTAACCAATGAAAATTCAATCGACTTTGGCACGACACAGCTGAGTGGAGATTAAACTCGGTATGTTAACTGACATGTTTTAGTGAAGTAAATGAAATTCAAAGTTACAGAGTTGAAATTTTTACTTTGATTAAATGCTTTTTTTCAGATTCTGTCAAATTTCTTCCTTGGGTTGAAAATACTACTGATTTTATTCATAAGCATCGGATGCATGGCTATTGAAAGTTAGCATGTATCTGCACATTTGCATGAATGGAATATTTATCCAGTACTATTCAGGTAAGATTTGAGCAAATTTGTTCGATTTCACCAGTAATTAATGTCCTCATGTTTCATTATTTGCAGTCTTATTATCTTCCCCGGGAAAAAGAGTTAATTTATATGCAATTTAACTCTGGGATTTTCATTTGAACTGTTTGATGAATTGGATCATGAAGCTATAAGCAACGTGGTAAAGAAGATATAAGTACAGCAAACAATGTTTTCTTTTACATCACCTATGAAGGGGCGGTTTATATTGGCAAATTCAGCATGGGAACTCTGTTTTTATTATTTTTCTATAATAATCGAGTGTATTAATTAAAAAAGTAATTATTTAGAAGATGATTTTTAAAAGTTGAATGGTTATTTATAGAAAAATAAAAGGGTTGTGCTATAACTAAGATAAAAAAAATATAATAGAAAAAAACAACCAAATTACTATTAGTAATATGTATTTGTCCATATATAAATACTCAAATGCACTACAAAGGAGGAGCTCTGCTATCCTCTGTTGTTTGTTAAATCATGGTTTAGTTTCTTATTCCTCGCTTGAAGAGGATGCCCTTAGCTGATGTTCTTCATTTGCAGGTATGAATTCGGCTGTTTAGGTCTGATACAGTTGTGGAAGCCTGTAATTCTCTTATGAGCACGTACAACTTCAAGTTCTTGTTTCAGTTCATTTTCTACTTAAAACTATTTTAGAGAAGGTGGTGGGCGGCGATAGGTTTTTTAAACCTATGTTAGACAAGAAGGTGGGGTGATAGGTTTTAAAATTAATCTGCTGTACCGAGTTTAGCATTAATACAACTTATTGTTTTATGTTAATTTTTTTTTTGATTGGAACTGTGCAACAATAAACTAGTATCTTCTAAACTCTAATAACATAAAAAACAAACAACACTGAAATATGTGACGGGTCCTCTAAACTAGTATCTTCAGAACATTCTGACATTGACATGCATGATCGAGCCCAAAGGGCTTTCACTTGAGGGAATGTGTTAAAGAATAATATAAATCATATCTTGGGACCTCATGTAATAGTTTAAGCTTTTAGGTGATATGATTTTTTGAGATGGTTTAAGTCCAAAGAGCTTTCACTTGAGGGGGTGTGTTAGAGAATAATATAAATCATATCCTGGGACCTCACCTATCAGCTTAAGCTTTTAGGTGAGATGGTTTTTTGACAGGTAATAGGTTTTAAAATTAATCTGCTGTATCGAGTTTAGTATTAATACAACTTATTGTTTTATGTTAATATTTTTTTTGATTGGAACTACAATAAACTAGTATCTTCTAAACTCTAATAACATAAAAAACAAACAACACTGAAATATGTGACGGGTCCTCTAAACTAGTATCTTCAGAACATTCTGACATTGACATGCATGATCTTCATCTTCTTCATAAACTTAAATCACACGGTGCATCCATTGAAGGGTCCTCTAAACAAAAAAAGGAAAATTGTTTGTAGGTGTTTATCCTTCTTCTTTAACCACAGTACACTGCTCATTTATCTATCATTAAAAATCCTAATCGAATAAGGTTTGCTTCAAGCTTTGTCAATATACATGTACGAAACCTAGGCAAATTGGAGATGAGAAGAGAGAAGAAGAAATAGAGTAGAAAGAAAAGGAGAATTAATTTAAGAATGAAAAAAAATTACCATCTTCTACCTCTTTCAAAACTAATCTACTACTGCAAGACATGATCCATTAATACATGCGATCGAGTTTGCATATAATTAGCGCGCAGCCTAGTCTTTCCACAATAACGATACCATTAGGGTTAATGATTACAAGCAATGAACCTCCAAACTCCTGATAACGAATTCCCCACACGAGACTTGTCTTCAGCACCGGGCCTTTTCAATCCCAAAAGCTGAGATTTGAGGACTTTTTTCTTGGAGTGAAATACCCTCTTGGACTCTTTAAGATATTCGATGAAATCCTTAACATTCTTGAGCAGCTTCAATGACTTGAGGTTGGGCTTTGAACCTCCAAACTCCTGATAACGAATTCCCCACACGAGACTTGTCTTCAGCACCGGGCCTTTTCAATCCCAAAAGCTGAGATTTGAGGACTTTTTTCTTGGAGTGAAATACCCTCTTGGACTCTTTAAGATATTCGATGAAATCCTTAACATTCTTGAGCAGCTTCAATGACTTGAGGTGGGGCTTGAATTCCTTAATTATGCGCACTTCTGTACTCAGCTTCCAAGGATCCCATATTGTTTTCGACGACATCAATCCGCTCCATGGGAGCTTCCATACCATCAGGGTTTTTGCTTTTGTTTTCGTTAGAGAGCAAGGTTTCAAGGCATGTGATTTGAGATTGAACGTAGAGCCTATTGTTTTCGATCTTTTCGGTTATGAGTTCATAAAGGTCAGAATCAGTGTATTTGCTGGCGAGGTCATGGGGTGATTGATCACATAGATAATTAGACGAGAACTTTCTGTGATAATTTGGAAGGTAAGAAAAGTAGACCGAGTGAGGGCTACAAGGATCACTGCTGCTATTAGGCATCGAACGACACAACTCTTCGAGCCTTGACAGGGCTCTAGGTGTGGGGATGCGCTAATGAAAATACACTGTTTAAAATTCAGTAGTGATGAACAATGGCAACCTTGTATAAGCAAAGATGAATTCGGCAGGCAACATCTATATGAGTTTTTAAGCTTGCGACTTAGCATGAATGTGGAGACTTAAATAATAAATCTTCTAAGTTAACAGCTAATGCAGCAGCGTAGACAGTTAGGACTGCCATGTAAGCAGGTAGAATGTGGCTGCATTATGAAGGCTGAATGTGGAGGAAGTGGCAGAATAATAGAAGAGAAAGTGCCCCACTATGCCCTGAAAATTAAGGATCATGGGTAAGCCACTAAGATCATGGGGGAGTAAATGCTCTACTATGCCTTGAAAATGAGGGATCATAGAAATCATTGGGAGTAAGTGCCCCACTATGCCTTGAAAAATAGAGATCATGGGTGAGCCTAACAACTCACATTTGTCTATAAATAGGCTGCAAAGTCTTTGCTGTGTAACATGCGATTTATGTGCATAGTACACACACTCTTATTGTGTAATCCTTTGTTGATAAGATAAATAAAGGTTGAGAGGTATTTTTGTGAAGATTCAGCGTGCTTGCTTGTGTTTGTTCTTTGTTTATGACTTGGTAATTGTAAGAACTTTTTTGGTTGAGCGAAACACATAATTATAGGAAACACGAACAAAAAAGGAAGGCAAGACTGAGTCTAGTTGGGACTAGATTACCATATTAGGTTAAATTTCATTGCGAAAAATTTAACCCCGTGACACTTGCCGTCTTCTTGCATGAAAGTATTTTTTAAGTCGCTTGATAGGGGATTCACCTTTTTATTTTATTTTCTTGAGGTTTTTTTTTTCCAGATCTTGAAGTGTTTTTTGAAGAAATATATATTAGCACATGTATTGACGTTTTAATAAGACAAAATAAGAAAATGACAGATAAGAAAGAAAAGAAAAGGTAAATGTCCTTCAAATTTATATATAACGCTGAAACTTCTAGAAAACATAGGAGTAAAATTTAAACCTCTCAAACTGTAGGAGTAGATGGAAAATAGCAGGGGTAATAATAGTAAATACGAGGGACAACAAAACACATTACATTGAGTTAATATTTGATTGTTATCTCGAGACATAATAGATGAAGATAATATATGAAAGAAGAGAATATCAATGACATGTTTTTTAGTTATTTATATTTTGAAAATATATAAAATCACCAAAAAAAACTATCCATGCATTTATTTTATAACTTTGTCTTCATCCTTGTTCAATTAAATATGTTTTTTTCATTTAATTAAAAGAATATCACCATCTTTTTTTTTTAAAAAAAATTAATTATCGAAATAAAGGAAACCTAGATAGAGCAGGCCATATCAATTTTTTTAACACAAAAAAAAAAAATAGTGTTATCAACGTGTTTTCCAATAAAAAAAATTAAACCTGATAAAAAATAATTCAATATAACACGATTAACTTGGTAAGTCTAGATATAATTCAAATAACTAAAAAAATAATAAAAAAAATAAACATTCACAGAAATTAAGCACTAACAAAATGAGAGGATATTTAATTGAGATTGCAATAACTTTATAAGAAACAAAACAAAAAGAAATCATGAAAATCAATTAAAAATAAACCAAGTTTTGAAAGATAATTTTTTTAAAAAAACAAAACCAACAAAAAAATACCTAAGTGAGTGGGCTTATGTAACCTAGTATGTCTATTCTCTAACAAAAAAACAAAGATCCATGGATCTGCTAGCCGAGACCATGTGTCTAAACCTTTATTTTTTTTCTATTTTAAGGGGTGTCGTCCCAACCTTTCTTAAATGAAAAAAATAGTTAGCACTATATTACTTGTTAAGACGGATGACATGTTGCATGTTACGTCTGGATGCTAACGATAAAAAGTTCATTGAAAAGTAGAAGCAAAAGTATTTTACATCTAAAAATCTATTTTTTTGATTATTTTGCTTTTTAAAATATCTAAAAAAATACTTTAAAAACCCAAAAAAACTTGTTTATTCTTTCAAATAACCTAAAAAAATAAAAAAATCATTTAAAAAAAAAAGGTTCAATGATTAAAAAACATTATAGATTCTTATAGGAAACAATATCTATCTTTTAGTTTTTTTTCTTTGCAATTGTAATGTAACAATATCGGTAAAGATCTTTAATGATAATGGTAATAGTATCCTGGGTAAAAATAAAGTCTAAGATACTATTTATTTTTGTATTTAAATTTGTGTTTAAGTGTATTTTAAAAATATATTTTATTTGAAAAAATATCAAATTAATTTTTTTAATACTTTTTAATGATTTTAATATATTATATTAAAAATAAAACAGAAATATTTTTAAGCCAAAGACATTTCTAAAAAGCATATGCAATGTAATGTTAAAACTAAATTATCCAAGAAAATAAAACACACCAAAAGAACTAAAAAAGGCCATTCGCTTTTAAAGAAAATTACGAAAGAACCCTCTTCCCGCCTCTTTAAATACCCTCCCTTCCCTCTTTTCACTTCCAAAATAAATCATGGCGCCAAAAAGATCTTCTACAATCCAAATCGGTAAAAGATGAAACAATTCACAAAACCTTAATTTCCCATCAATCAAATCTTCAAATTAACGATTTCTAGCCTTAATTTTTCCAGCATTCTTTTGATTTTGTGTTTTACAGGTAATTGTGAAGTTGCTGTGGAAGCAAACAAATTTGTTATCAACGATTCAGAACCAAACAGTCTGCACATCTCAATCAATCGAAATGCAAACGTTAAAATTTCAGGTATTTTTTTATTTGAATTTCTTAGTCTAATTATGATTATAAGGTTATTATTATGTGTTTAAATTGAGTCAATAATAACTTTGAAACAGTGAAGGATGAGCTTAATAATGATTTTTTGCTATCAAATATCGAAAAAAGAGGTAAATCTTTTGTTCAATCTGAGAGCTTAATTAGGACTAAAAATTGTGGCTTTCTTTGGGTTGTTGATGATTTTTTTTGTGCATTAGTGAAATTCGAGGATGGTTATGCTTTTTTCGTCGTGAATTCAAAGGATAAAGATAGTAATAGCAAATGTTATCTTGAGGTATGTTATTGCATACTGGGTATGATTTATTTTTGATGCATTCGTGTGTGTGTGTTTGGCTGTTTGGTGAATATATTTATATGATGAGTTTTTGTTTATTAATTGATTTTTTTAGGAAGTTTTAAAGATTTATACAAGAGAACTACCTGCAATGAATTATGCTGCTAATACTGGAAAACAATCAATGTTTCTTGAAAAATGTATCTCCAAGGGGTATTGATTACTTTTTCTCTTGTCTATTTTAGTTGTACTCCCTTCGTTGTTTTGAAATGCTTTATGTACTAACACTAATCTTGCAGGAAATACTGTACACTGCTTTTGAAATCCAAGTCAACAGAAGGTCCTGGTGAGGTAATCCTGCTTTGTCCCTCTACGTGTTTATTTGGTTGTGTACTTCAGAAGGAAAACAAAAAAACAGTATACCCTGAAATCTTCTCATGCATTGCAAATGGTTTCTATGTTGAGGTGTTGCATCTTAGACACGTGCTGTAGGTGGTCAACTCTAATCTACATGTTAGCTTAAAAAAACAATTTTGTTATCTTGACTAGTGATGAAGTATAAACACCATATATATTTACGAAACAAGGTTTTTTCTTCGTGGTTGGATTATGGATTGGTTAAGTTTCTCTTTAAGTAGCTCTCTTCTCTAATGTCGAGGAAAACTTTCTTAATGAATGTTTTTCTCGCCTGCAAAAAATCCTTTTTTAGGGTGTTTGAGGACTCTCTGATGATAAAATCAATAAAATTATAGAGAAAAAAGGTAATAAATATGCTTGAAGAGCTTTAAATTATGAAATTCAGGTTGTTTTTATGTTGAAATTATATGCTTTTATTGTAGAAAAACTTGAATCTCTTATCTGGTAGTTCAAGGGGTATTTATAGCCATTGATCCTTGTTTTTTTTTTGGTAAAAAGACTGAAAAGTAATTTCACCATAATAATATTTACGAGGGATAAATATCATTTATACAAGCATTATATTTATAGCCGTTGATCCTTGTTTTTTTTGGTAGAAAGACTGAAAAGTAATTTCACTATAATAATATTTATGAGGGATAAATATCATTTATACAAGCATTAATTATTCTTTACATAAGTATTAATGAATATTAATAAAAATGGATATCTCTTATATAAGCGTTAATAAAAAATAAATATTCTTTACACAAACATGAAGAGAAAAGAAGAAAAAATGACCTAGGACATGTCTTTGGCTTAAAAGGAGGTCAATATCTACCTTTTAGGGCTGCGCTAGGGTGCTGCACTTGAGTCGACAAGGAGGGGTTTGGGCAGATGCCGAACACCTGAGCTCAGGTATGCCCATCCCACTATCTGGGCTCGGGTACTCTACTTGAGCCCCTCAAAGGTGTCTTGGAAATGGATTGAAAAAAATGGTCCCATGACTTGTGTGGGTTTTGTGTTAAAGAAAAAAGGGATAAAATCTTGATCCATCAACCAGGGTGCATTGTTATTAGAGAATATAGGTGGTCCTACCTTAGTTTTCCTGCTTTCCTGCCTATTTTGACTTTTGTCTCAATTTTGTGATTTCTTTAACATCCAAACACTTCATGAAAGTGCAAGAATTTGCATTTGCATATTGTGAACAATGAATTGATTGCATCAACGAAGAAATTTAGCTAGCATTTTTTTACATTGGCCTTGTAACTCAACTTTTTTATGTTACTAATGCAGGTTATAGCTGCAATTACGTATCAAATTATCCCTGCTGACATGCAGTATGCTGAGGTTCCTCTTGCCGCTGTTAGTGCAGTCTACCAGCACAAGGTTTACTGTCTGCTTATTTACTGCTGAAACACATTGCTACTCTTCTGAACCAATGATTGATGATATGAGTCTGTTCAGGAAATTTTGCTCTGAACTTTACTGCTACTTCAATTACTCAGGGTTTTGGTCACTTCTTGTACATGGAATTGAGGAAGAGACTTCAGAATGTTGGTGTCCATACAATATACTGCTGGGGTGATAAGGGATCTGAAGGTTTCTGGGTTAAACAGGTAATGCTCAATTGAGAATGTCTTCGGATTGGAGCATGATATGTTCTTATTGATTTGAGTTACTATTCCAGATGTCTTTCCGCAATGTATAAAATTTATATAGTGAGAAAAGGCCTTCTGTTTTTCCTCAAACAGCAGAATTATGCAAGATAGAGTTTTCCAATAGCTAGTTAATCCATAACAACAGTGTTTTTGTCCATGTCTTGCAGAAGTCATTATGTGATTTAAGTTTGAACTTTTGCAATATAATGAAAACGAATGCAGGGTTTTGCATCAATAGCAGAAGTGGATAAAAAAGGCAGACCTCGGAGGCTGCCTATTAAGCCCAACATCCGTAGAGCATTATGCTTTCCTGGCAGTTCGACTCTTATGGTTTCTCATCTAAACGAGGGGAATTCAGCTACCCCTGAGGCCTCTCTGCAGTTTTGTTTTCCACTAAAGCCTTGTAATAATTCCTCATCAGCTGTTTATAGATCTGCTGAGTCTGGCTTTATTGCAGAGGATTACACTACTTTGAAGTCACAAAACCAAATAACTTCCAGGATAGAAAATTCTCAACATGAAAGATTTGCAAAGGATGAATTTTCTGGAGCAGATGCCAATCCAAGTGGTAAGACGAATTCTATTTATTTATTTTTCTAACATGTGCTGCTTTTAATGCATAGTGATGTTTTTCATATTTCATTATTCGGCTTAAGCCCTGCATAAATGCTTTAGAAATATTTGAAGTGAAACATCTCTTCTATTTCTGCATCTTCAGATCCCAACTTTCCACTCCTACCCTTTCTAGCAAATTTCCATAGGTTACTAGGATAGGCTTCTACCATCTTTTGTTTTTAATTTTTTTTCAACAGGCCTTCCTCAGAGTCCGTATTGTGGTGACTTAGCTCCTTTTGAGAGAGGGGAATGCAGCAAGATGACAACTGTTGCAGAATTAGCCAAGACTAGAGCTGATGCTGATGTCAAATGCAATTATAGCTATATACAAGGTACTAAGAGGAGGGCTTGGGAAGCTTCATTGTCATCACTGAAGACTAAAAAGGTGAAGGGAAGCCATCAAACTGACTATGAATCAGATTCTGGCTGCGGTCCAGGTTCAGAAAGATTCACAACTGATCCATGTTTTAGGGGGTGCTCCTTGGGAATTTCAAAAAATAACTCTTTTGGAAAAGCTACTTCTATGGATCCTTTGACTCGTAACTGCATGGAAAATAATGTGAAAGAGGACAAATCAAGTAATAGAACATCAGAGGTTCTTGTCAGCAAAGAATTTCAGTCTAAAGGAGAATGCTTTAGAATCATGTTGATGAATATTGCTGATGATGATAAGAAGATGCATCTAACGAAGGTATATCCAATATCTGATTCCTGTTCCACATATCATATATAAACATCACCATGAATTTCTTTGTTTGGCACTTTTAGTGCTGTGATTGAAGATTGAGATATTCTGGGGTTCAGGTTATGAATCCATGTGAATGCTTTGACATATTACTAAATCAGGACATTTTCATCCTTTCCCATTTACTTTATGATTTTACAGCGAAATGCTTTCCATGTTTTATTCCTCCCAGTAATTGTGTACAGGTGCCATGCATGTAGCTATCTTGATTAATAGCTACATAATTAGTTGTTGCTGAATATGGGATTTGAAGTGCTTCTGTGGTGCACTCAGTTAACTCCTATACAAATCATTTGTATTGGCGCTTTGCAAAATGACTTCTAAAGGATTTTGTCCCTCTTTTGTTATGAAAAGCAGAAGGTTGAGCATGCACAAATCAATTGTGTTGGTCACTGATTTTTCTCCCAGACATAACTAGTTATTTATTTAGAATAATACGTCACTGAGGCTGAACAAGACTTATTCTTTCTAGCTTGAATACTTGATTTGATTGTTCATTCCCATGCTAAAATGCCCATTCCTCGTGAGTTAATTGTATTGTATGGAATGTGGTTATATTTATGTGTGTTTGTTGAGAATTAGTACCTTTTGTATAGGTAATTGAAACTCTTGGTGGTGCCGTTACTCCTGATGGAAGTGTAAGCACTCATGTTGTCACAGGGAAAGTGAGAACAACTTTGAATTTCTGCACTGCTTTGTCTTCAGGGTTAGTCTTTTCTTCATCTACCATTTTCTTTTTAAAAATTGGATATTCTGCAATCTGTATATGCAATTGCGATGTCAAAATAGCTCAATGCTCTAGTTTAAAAAACTTTCCCCATTGTTGACATACATACATTTTTGAACACGCATACATAATACATTATTATTGCTTAAATTATTTTATGCTAACCTGGACGTATCGCCCCTTAAGCAGAGCTTGGATAGTCTCATCAAAATGGTTAAAGGAAAGCTTTCGCAAAGGCAGATTTGTGGGTGAGTTGAAAACAGATTAAAGCTTGAGTGTTTTAACACTCGTCTAGACTATTCTCGTATCTCCTTTTAACCAGTCTGATGTACAGACGAATTGCCTTATATACTGTACGATGAAGATTATGTGCTGAAGCACAAAGCTGAGTTAAAAGATGCTGTTCTCAGAGCGAAAGCAAGACCCCAAGCTCTTCTCAAAGGGTATAACGTATGCATAGCAAAGCATGTCCAGCCTCCTTTTCAAACTCTATCTGCCATTGTTGTGTCTGCTGGTGGAAATGTAAGTTTAGAATCTCATCTAGTTTGACTATATGTGGTGCACATTTGTGAATGATAATTTTGTTTTTCATGGCCAATTTTTATCATCTATATCAATGTACAGGTGAGATGGGTTTGAAAACTGAAACACAGAGAATCACCTTTTGTTGTGGATTTTGTATAATGCGGAGATAGGGACCGGTTCTGCTGCTTGATTAGAACCCTTTAATATCTGCTAACCATGGTGAAACAAATACAGGTAATTTGTGGACTAGATAAAGAAAATGAAGCATCAAAAACAATCTTTGTTGCCTGTGAAGAAGACATTGAAGAAGCATTATCAGCTGCGAAGAAAGGAATGCGGACTTTCAGCAGTGACTGGCTGATGAACTGCATCATGAGGCAAGAACTGGACCTGGAGGCACAACAATTTGCAGAGTCCTTGTGAGGAGACTAATTTATACTCACGTATCAAGTTTGGACGCCCCTTTTTAGTTCTTGCGTTTGTAAGTGGGAGGAAATTACGGTCTCAGAAAAGCAAGTGCAAGTATTTTATCCACGGAGTTCTTTTTGAATCTTTCAGGTGATTACTTGAATCCTGTATATTGAACTGTTGTTATGAAACTTTACCTAGCAGGTGAGGTCAACTGCTGACCTGCTAACCTTAGTACCTGAACTATTGTTCTTTCTGAGTTTTGACAGTTAAAATTAGGAACCTGCCAGAGCAAATAATTCTTGTCTTTGGGTTTTTAGCCCTTCAATTTTTGAAAACCTACAACTTAATCCCTTAACTCTTGCAGACTGTTATTTTATTAAAACATCTACCGGTTTTTTCTTAGTTGCAAACCTAACATTTGACGATTCTCGGAGACAAACCAACATGGTAAAAGCTCAGAGAATAATGTTTTCGAAAGACAATGGCCAGCAATGGTCAGGAGATTGATTCAATGGTTTTCAAACACAAAGAATTAAGTCATAGACGGATTTAAATCTAGGGTTTACTCTAAAAATGGCCAGCAATGGTCAGGAGATCGATTCAATGGTTTTCAAACACAGAATTAAGTCAGACGGATTTAAATCTAGGGTTTACTCTAATTTACTCCATCTAACAATTTAAACGTCACTCGTGCGCAAAAACGACATTCTTTGTCTTTGTTGTGAACAAATCCAAGTATCTGAAATTACAGATTTCATTTCGCACGCTCACTAATCCATCAACCATCAATTTTCCATTTTTATACTTAAAGCTATATTTCTCTTGATCTTACCACTATAGTCCCTGAAAAGTTTCAACAACACCACTCACCTGCAAAACTAACAAGAAATTCTATTTTTCATTTTCTTTTATCTTTCTACTCAAATCTCTTAAATAAAAATCTAAAAGAACCTCAAAAATGGGAAAAAATTCATAGGTGGGTTACTGTTAAACTTTATTAGCTGAACCATGGGGATGAGGTTGAAACATTTTAAGCTATAATGGGCTAAATGAAAGATTAATGAATATTTGGAGGCAAATATTTAATTTTTAAAACAACAAAACACATAGGATAAGAAAAGAGTATTTGGAGATAAGGCGGTGGACAGTGAATCCCGGAGAGAGGAGACACACATATAATAGTCCACAAACGAGGATACCCGCATAGACAGAATCTCATCTCCCTTCCCAATTGACTATAGATACAGACCTGGGCACTTCATTCCATTTTCTTGAGCCAAGAAAATGGCGGCAGAACCTGTATTTGTAAGTGGAGCTACTGCTATTCCCTCAAAGTTTCAGTCTTTTACAAGAAACATCAATGACAAGTCACAACCCAAGCTTCTTTTATACTCGAGAGTCAGAGCTTCACAAAAACATTCTATGGATGACAAAAACAATGTCTACAAACAACTGGGTTAGTTTGTTTCTCTCTGTTCTTTAGTTCTCTCTCTCTGTTTATATATACATCTCTTGGTGTTCGTAGTTGTTAGAGGGTCTTAACCCATTAATGAAAATGAATGAATTGGTTAGAGCTTAAATTTGAAATTTTCTGTGGTCAAATGTAGGAGAAATCGAAAGGGTTTATGTTAAAATGTCTAATTTAACTGTTTGGGATTGATTTTTCAGTTTATTTTATGTATTTTGTGGTTGGTTTTCCAAAAAAGCTCAGTTTTTTCAGCTTTTCTAATGAAATTTTGAAAACAGGCCATGAAGGTAAGTGCTTTTAGCATTCTGGAACTGCTTTGTTTTAGTTTTCCTGGGTAAAGTTGATTTCTTTACTTGTTATCTCTTGGCAAGAAAAGTAGTTCGAAAATGCTAATAAATAGCTCATTGGAAATTCAAAAACTCAACTTCAAGCATCACAATATTTGTTAAAATCTCAGGTTAGCGAGCTGATTATCCAGTAATTTTGGCGGCCATGTTCTTTTATTTATCCTTTTTGTTTGTGTTTAACATAATTCATCAGGTGTCAAGCTGAATCTTAGTTTCATCTCTGTTCACAAGTTTCGTTGTTGTTCACATTACCATGTGTTGAGGTTTTTTATTCTGTCATGATCGATCTTCATGGTAAAAATGTGGAGCTCGTGATGCTTGTTGAGGCTGTCTAATGACTTTAATTATTTGTTTTTCTTGACAATCTGAAGAATGGTCTAAATGAATTTTAGGAGAATAATGCAGTAGGCTAAAGCTGTAATATATTCAAAGATGAAGATTTAATGACATGGAATTGAAATTCAGGTTAACTTGTTCTGTCATATTATATATTACTGGAGCACAGCTCATTGATGTCATGGTGTATTTTCACATCTTGGAATGTTTGTGCCTGGTTTCAGTTGTACTAATTACCAGAGGATAGAGTTATATAAATGTAGAAGAAATTGAAATATGATCTTGAATCAGCCTTATCAGATGGTGGTTGCTATTTTCCAAATGCATGTATGTGTTGGTGCATGCTGTTTCATCTGGTGCTTTCTCATAGCTGTAGTTTTCACTTCTAAGTGGTAAGTTTTTTTAGGTTTGTTTTCTTTGAAAAAGAATATTGAAGATACGGTTCTCCGTGCTGAGATGTTAGCACCAACAGCACTGGAACATGAGGAAGCAAGACGAATCAAGCAGGAAGAAATGATACATGAGTGCAACTTATGGGAAGACCCTGCTAAATCCAATGAAATCCTCATCAAATTGGCTGGTAGTGCCAAAGCGATTGATGCTCTCAAAGACTTGAAATACAAGGTGATACACGTGGAGATCATTTTCTATGAGTTTTATCTACAGAACTGACATTTATGTTTACAGGAAGCATACAACAAGACTAGGTTCTATTGTTTTGGTTAGCCATGGGACTAAAAGCTTAGTGTAAAGCTTGCATAGGGCCATCACGAAGCATTACATTTTTCTCTGTACTAAATACTCAGACTTTTTACAGCCAAGATATTTGTAATTGTATATATTTCTTAGGCTGAAGAGGCAAAGCTGATCTCACACTTGGTGGAGATGGAAGCTATCAATTATCTGCCTAAATTTAAGAAAAGGACCACTTTTGTTTCCTTAAAAATAAGTCTTCTGATTTTTTAATTCCTGATAAGAATTAACCATTTTTTCTGACACCTGAAAATGTTGTTTTTTGTAAAATTTATACTCTCTGTTTGAAGTCCATGGCCTGAAAACTCTATTTAGATTCTTTGATTGTTGGATTGTTTCAGCTGTGCATGTCTACTGTGGTATATTTGCTTGTTAGTTTGTGCAAGGTTACAAATACAATTCTGCTTCTTCTGGTTTTCCTTTTGGACATGGCCATATTATAACGTACCATGTTATGCTGCTATTTCCACTAAAGCATATTAATCACCACCATGTTTTACAAATTGTTGTTTCTCTGGTATGCTGTAACTATTTGTTTGAAAATTGGAAACTATGCAGGTTACCACAGCATGTGTAGACGTTGTTCCTCTATTTCTCGGAACAGGTTTTGACTTTCAAATAGATGATGAGGAATTGATTGTCTCGTGTTCTCCCTCATTGCTAAGAGACGGGAAGAGCCGAACTGAACTGACAGTTTGCCTGCAGCACATTCCTACTGGCATAAGCGTTCAGTCTTCAGGTACTCAATTTTGTACCAGAATCTTCTGCATTTTAGTCTAGGGCTTGAAATTACTCTGTTTGATATGGAAAACTTTCGAAGTGGAAGCTTTTAGCAGCTTTGCAGTTGAAGCTTTTTTTGGTGAAACAGGCACCGCCTATGTCAGGGTAAAAGCTGAGATGAAAAATTCAAATGTTGAAAGGAATGCATTTCCCTCGCTTTAAATTTTCATGGAAAAAAATGAAAAGAAAGGTTTTAAAATCCCTTGTCCAGTTAATGTGATTTTTCGGATCTTGGTCTTTATTGCTAGTTACCTGTGTGCAAATGAATAACATACAAGTGGTAACAATAATGTTCACCAGACCTCAAGATATGATTTTAATTACCAGGTTGTAGGCACGGGAAATTATGATATTTTGCTCATTTGCACTTGACATGCTAATTAATGAAAAAAAACAGAGAGAGAGAGGCGCCTGTATTGGAGGCACAGATAAAAGTTGTTCAAGCTTTGTCTTGAGCTCACTTTTGAAAGTGTAAGGGCTCATGATTGAAGAATTAGTCACTTCTAAACCACCATAACCTCTGTCTTCTCTCCCAGACTTTCTCTGATGGGCACGGTTCAATTCTTGAAGTGATATTGTCATGTTCATTTTCACATGCAAATGCAAACCAGCCAGTTCCACCTTTCTCAATGCAATACTAAATATTTTGTAATTGTCTTTATCTGTTTCGGTGTGTTCTATAATTATTTCAATTAGCTTATAAGAAGGGATTAAAAATGGCTATTTTTATCTGCAGGTGAGAGGAGCCACTTTGCAAATAAGGTGAAGGCTCACAATAGATTGAAAGCCAAGCTTCTTGTGATTGCAGAGGAGCAAAAGGTTTGTGATGTGAGTAGCATCAGGAGAGATGACATTGTGGATGTGTGGCAAAAAGAGACCAGGAGGTATGTTTCTCAACCGTACAAGCTAGTACAAGATGTAAGAACGGGCATTGAACTGCCTGACCTAAACTCTATTTTGGATGGAAATATTAATACTCTTATCGGAGCCCATATTAATATTAGACATACAGAATAATTTTGCATTGCTATCATAGCTTTGTATTCAATGAGACCATTTTTGTTACCTATCATGTGATTTTGATTCTTTTGAACTCGAAAATTGAGCAACATCCCCTGCCCATTTTAGGCATTGAAACAAAAAAATGGGAATCAAATATCACTGAGTATCTTTTAAGCCCGTAATTGTAAACTGCAAATTAAGGGAGAAAGGGCTTTAGTTTACAAATATTACATTGCATATCCAACAGTAAAATGATCCATATGATTTGCCAACTTCATCAGATAGAAAATACTGTATTTCAAGTTTTAGCAGGATGCCTGTTAATCAACAATATTGAACAACATCATGCAGTTGTTTCATAGTATATGCTTACAAGAGGAGGCAATTCGATCAAATCAAGCGTGCTTGATCTGTTAAGAAATTATGGGAGCAAATTGAGAAGAAAATTACATCTCAGATGTACTTTTCAAAAGAGCCTTACATTTAGTTGTGCCCCTATGGAAAGGTTTGATGGCCTAAGCCACTTTTTAGCAGTGTTATGAAATCGCTTCATATGCATGGTGAATGTGCATTTTTTTAGGAAAAAAAACATAGCGAACCCGGTCAATTACTGTAATTGGGAACTGGTCCGTTATAGTAAAATATGATTCACTCTTCTATACTCTACACACATTCTCCATGATGCATCTTTCTTTTTAACCAAAACAACCGGGGAAGAGGAGGGACTGTTACTGGGTTGCACAATGCCAATATTCAACGTTCTTGCTCGAAGTTTTCGATCACATCCTTTTGAGCGGGCGGGTATCGATATGGTTTCATATCAACTGGTTCAGAACCTTAAATACAATTCTATGATCATGATTTCTTTCAGGGGGTAATTCTCATAGATATTTAAATATATCTCGTGATAACGTGTTCATGCAATTCACAATTAAAATGCAATTCACAATTAAAATTAAAATATAATTTTAGAAAGTTGCAACTCACAATTAAAATTAAAATTTAATTCTAGAAAGCCAAACTGATAAGAGTGTGACATAATTATTAATATATTTCAAGATACTAATACTGTTGAATGATATCATAAAGTAAGTTAATATAATTCTTTCAAAAACTAAATGATGTAAGAATCATTCTTATATTAAGTTGAGAAAACTTTAGAATTATTATTGATCAATAGGTTCAAAAATTTAGGTTTACAAGAGTTTAATTACATTTAAAAAATTAATCCTAATGGATGTATTATTATAGGTTAAATTGACTTACTTATAAAATTGATCCAGAACTTATATTAATAAACTCAAATATTGATCCAAACAAGTCTCGGATTTTAGCTAAAAATATGATATTAATTAAGTTTAAAAAAACCTTGTATTGAAGCTGATGTAAAAGAAATAAAATCCATAAGTGTGATTCCTATGCTATCTTGAGAACAAAAAAAGAAAAGAAAATATTGAAGATACGACAAGATTTATTTATAGCTCATAATGCTGCCCGATAACCCTAGAAATTGATACCCAAGTAGTTTCATCCATAACATATGAAAGAGAGAAGGGTGTCTAAATCAGAATCTTGTTTCAAGTGAACGGTACTATATATATGTATCAGCTTTGGCCCTAACATCTGAAAGGAAGAAGCGTGTCGAGCATCAGAGCCGGATTCATCTGTTTATATAAAAGTTTCAGATGGAACCCCTTTTCTAAGTGCATGGAACGGATGGTAACATGCATTTCATTTTCTTGATAGTCTTGGTCGGGGATTCTCAGTCCTTTGATACTTCTTAGTGCTATATCGATATGCATGCATGTTAGCAGCTGGCTAATAAACCTCTCTTACCTTCCAAAGAAAAATAATGGCGTCCGTCAATTAAAAAGATCAAGGGATGTAAGTGGTGAAAGGCGCGAGAGGAAAAACGACTGCGCTAACGAGGTAAGGCATAACGAAGTCGAGTGGCAAGCTGGTGGGTGGTCAAAGTCTTAATAAATGACAGCTTAGAGAGAGACAGATAATGGAGCAAAAGGTGATCAAAAGTCAACCAAAAGCTCCTTTACAGGGGATAGTAATGGTTTGGAAAGTTCTGTATGCTTGGATTTTCAGAAAGGAGGAGCATGTTTTTCCATAGGAAAGGTGTCTGTTGATCATGGGGCTGGCTCAGGTTTGCTTTGAGAAAACGCATATTTGGAAAGAAAAGTACTGTCGTCCCCAAGCCTGCAAGATCCACCCTGAATCTTGCTTGATGCTTGCTAGAATTGCCAGTGTCAATTCTTTAATTCCAATGAACACGTACGTACTATTTGGGTCCCCTCCCCTTAATTCGCAACGCAAGGTCAATTACCCCTAATCCTAACCCCATAATCACCAGCCATCAGCCAATCAATTCTCATCATTTTCTTTAAAAATATTTAACAAGCGCCTGGGATACATATGAAAGTTATCAATTTTTTTTTTATTCAATCAATTATTTCTTGAATCATAAAATCTCAAAATCAATATAGACAGGGACGGAACCAGGGAGGGCAAGCAGGCCCAGGCCTCTGCAAAACATTTTAATTTTAATTTTTTTTAATTTAAATAAATAAATTTTTAATAATATATATTATTATATTAATTTTAACCTCTCCTGTAAAATACACTTGGCTCCACCCCTGAATACAAAGATTAGTTAAAATATAGAAAAAATTAACTATGGAAGAGGTAATATTTCATGTCATAATTACAAAATTCAATCAAGAAAACTAAGATTTAAAATCTGATTTGAGTTAAATTTTTAAACTTGTTTAACCTAATCAACTTTTTAATTAACCTAGTCAAACTTGATCCAAACTCTAGATTGATGTCTAATTAGAAATAAAGTGCAAAACACTGTCGTTTTCATAAAAAAGTTATTAACCCAGGGACTCAACCATCCAAAGTTTTTTAATTTTTTTTTAAGGATTAGTCCCCATATCGGCTTTTACAACTAAAGCCAATAAACTCGGTTTCCATCTTCCTTGGTAAAAACAAGGGAAAAAACTCTCAACATTCAATTTACCAAATTAATTTAAGAGCCGGTACTTGGGCAAATTAGAATCGCACACATATAATTTATTTATTTATTGGATTCTTTTTGTTTCATAGATTAGGACTAACAAAACACACAATCTATCATTATCTCTTAATTAATCCCCCCACACACACACACACCATCTGGACTAGCTTCAGATGGCAATTCCTGTAGCATTCCAGTACCTGAGGATGTTGCTGTCCAAGCATTCCAGTACTTGAGGATAGTCTCTTCTTTATAGAATGAAGCATCCGGGTCTATGAGGAAAAAAAAATTGAATTGAGCATAGAAAGCTAGTTAATTACTCAATAAATAATAATTAGTATGCTTCTTTTTTTCCTCAACTTCTATGACAATCACCCCTATTTTACTAATTATAATTAAAATACAAAAAGATACGTCCTCGGGGGTTTTGTTTTATTAAGCAAATGCAAAAATCTGAAATTCTTGGGGATTTGTTCTTCCTATAAACTATTTGTTTCAAGTCAAATTGGTATTGTAATACTATTTTTTTAAAAGCTTTTTATTTAAAAATATATTAAAATAATATTTTTTTAAAAAAAATCATATTTCATATGAACAAATTAAAACAATCTAAAAAAACTCACTTTGAGGGGGGCGGCAGCGGTGGCGACGATTGCGGTGATGGCGACAGCGACAACGATTGCGATGACAGCTGGGCCGGCGACGATTGCGATGGCAGTGGCGGCAGTAACCTCGTAGCCGGCGACGA